TCTTATACCGACACACACACACACACACACACACACACACACACAAACACACACACACACACACACACACACACACACACACACACACACACACACACACACACACAGAGAGAGAGAATCATTCTCTCTTTCTCAGACACACACACCGAGATTTTCTCTTTCAGACACACACACACAGTCTCTCTGTCACACACACAAACACACACAGACACACACACACAGCAGCAGCAGGTGTGTAAATTGGTTTTGCGCAGCTGGAAGCCGCAGTGCATGATGGGATGTGGTCAGTGTGAGCTGAGTTTGTGTTTTCTTTCTAAAGCTCTTTAAAGTGGAATAGATCAAACTCTGCCTCTTTCACACGCATGCACGCTTATACGCACACACACACACACACACACACACACACACACACACACACACACACACACACACACAGGTTGAGATCATGTTCATGTGTGCAGCCAAAGGTGTTAGGTCACTGACTGATTCACTGAATGATTCAACATATAGATTTACTGAATCATATGAATCAGTATTGTTCACAGAAGCCTCTGTTGTTTATTTATGTTCGTTCATTCATTCATTCATTCATTCATTCATTTATTCAATCAATCATACCCTCCTTCATGCATGCATTCTTCTTGTCCTTTTTTCATTGATTCATTATTCTTTCTTTTTACCTTCTTACCTTTTTCATTCATTCATTCATTCATTCATTCGTTCGTTCGTTCGCTCATTGTTCGTTCGCTCATTCATTCATTCATTCAATACTTTTATTTATTCTTATATTTCTTTCCTTATTCATTCATGCATTCATTCATTCATTACTTCTTTTATTTATTTTATTCATTTATTCCTTTCTTATTCATCCATTCGTTACTTTCATTAATTAATTAATTAATTAATTAATTAATTAATTCATTCATTCATTCATTCCTTTCTTATTTGTTCATTCAGTTATTCCTTCCTTCCTTCCTTCCTTCCTTCCTTCGTTCGTTCATTCATTCATTCATTCATTCATTCATTCATTCATTCATTCATTCATTCATTCATTCATTCATTCATTCCTTTCTTATTCGTTCATTTAGTTATTCCTTCCTTCCTTCCTTCATTCATTCATTCCTTTCGTATTCTTTAATTCATCTACTCCTTCATTCCATCCTTCCTTCCTTCCTTCCTTCCTTCAATCATTCATTCCATACATTACTTTCCTCCTTCTTTCATTTGATCATTCCTTCCTTCATTCATTCCTTCCTACCTTCAATCGTTCATTTGTTCTTTCTTTTCTTCCTTCCTTCCTTCCTTCATTTTCTTCCCTCCATCCTTCCTTTCTTAATTCATTCATTTATTGTCATTCTTCCTTATTTCCTTATTTCCTTTTTTTCTTCCTTCCTTCCTTTATTCATTAATTTTCTTCGTTCCTACCTTCCTTCGCATAATCATTTCTTTCTTCCTTCCTTCCTTCCTTCCTTCCTTCCTTCCTTCCTTCCTTCATTCCTTCATTCATTTCTTTCTTTCTTTCTTCATTCATTCATTTATTCATTCAATCTTTTATTCCTTTCTTAATTTATTCATTCATTTCCTTCCTTCGCTTTTCCCCATCTTTCCTTCTATCATTCATTCATTCATTCATTCATCGATTTGTCCATTTCTTCATTCTTCCTTCTATCATTCATTAATTGCCTTTCTTCCTTCCTTCCTTCCTTCCTTCCTTCCTTCCTTCCTTCCTTCCTTCATTCATTCATTCATCTATTTGTCCATTTCTTCATTCCTTCCCAAAATATTTTCTTATTTCCTTCTGTTCCTCACTTCCCTATCTTCATTCATTAATTCGTTTGTTCATTCGTTCATTCAATCCTCCCTTCATTTGTTCTTTCCTTCCTTATTTATTCATTCATTCATTCATTCCTTTATTCATTCATTCATTAAATTTTTCGTTTGTTCGTTCTTTCATTCATTTATTCATTCACTTGTTCTTTTTATTCATTTATTCATCCATTCATTCCTTTATTTGTACTTTCTTTCTTTCCCTCCTTCCATTCTTCTTCCTTCATTAATTTTATGTATTCATTCATTCATTCATTCATTCATTCATTCATTCATTCATTCATTCATTCATTCATTCATTCATTCATGTTCTCCATTCTGTCCTTCCTTCCTTCCTTCCTTCCTTCCTTCCTCTCTATTGTTATAATATTAATCGAGTGTGTTTATGATAACATTGAGTCATGTTGAAAGCGTTGTACAGATGTTACTGAAATGTCATCTTAACGTTCTGCAGCCATAACAAGTATTGGACCATCCAGATCAAGAGTAAATAAACATGGCTGGTGTATTAGCAGTGGTTCAGTGCTGATGTTTACAGTATGACATTTGTAAAGAGCAGATATTGAACGTTCTCTTAATGTTTGCTTATAACCTTGAGAGAACCTTCAGAGAGTGTTCAGTTGATCTGCTGCAGTGTGTTTGGTGTTGATATTTGGCATGTGTGTGCGCTGAAGTGTGTGTACTTGTTCTGATGTTTACCGGTGTGTGAAATGAGACTCAGTGTGTCCTGACGTGTGTGTGTGTGTTTGAGTGTGTGTTTCAGAGATGCGGTTCAGCAGCAGAGGAGAGTCCAGTGCAGTGGCCTGAACCCAGCAGAGCTACACCACACACAGAGAAGTGCACTGACCACACCACTGCCCGCTGTCAGACGAGGTGTGTGTGTGTGTGTGTGTGTGTGTGTGTGTGTGTGTGTGTGTGTGTGTGTGTTTGCATTTTGATGTGATGTGTGGTTGTGTTTAACCTGTGTGGGAAAGAGAGAGGGTGTGTGTGTGTGTAAGAGAGATAGTGTGTTTGTGTATTCATGTATGTATGAGACTGTGTGTATCTGTATGCAAGAGTGTATGTGCATGTGTGTGTATGTTTATATGTTTATAGTTTGATTTGTGTGTGTGTGTGTGTGTGTGTGTGTGTGTGTGTGTGTGTGTGTGTGTGTGTGAGTGTATGTAGTTTTACGTGTATGTGTACACGGTAGTTTGATATGTGTGTGTGTGTGTAAGTGTGTGTATGTTTATGTGTGTGTGCGTGCGTATGTGGTTGCATGCGTGTGTGTTTCAGTATGTATGTGAGTGTATGTAGTTTGACGTGTGTGTGCACGGTATATTGATGTGTGTGTGTGTGTGTGTGTCAAAGTATCAGAGTGTGTAT